CACATACCTTCGCATTTCATTCGCGTCCCATAATATCAAATTTAGTATATTCAAAGCTAGTTAAACAGCCACGAGCGCATCATGATATCTGGGGTTTCACGTCCCAAATCCACCATATGATTATCAGAGACGCCGTGGGGGAGGGCTCCGGAAATTTCGACCACCTGGGGTTATTTGACGTGCACCCAATCTGAGCACATGGGTCTACAGCATTTTCCGCCTACATCGGAAATGGAGCCGCCGCAGCTGGGATTCGATCTTGTGACTTGCGGATCAACAGCCGAGTACCTTAGCCACTACACGACCGCGATGAGGACGAGCGCATTATGAGTGTGGCCTGTAGTCATGTTATTACCTAACCGCATGTCAATATTTCTAAGTTAGAGTCTGTCGCTTGTGTTCACCATGCAGTCATGTCATACCCTACTAGTTTTGCAACCACGTCATGTGAACGAAGCCACCGCCAAAGCAGCAGATCATGAATGCAATTCTCGACATTCGCGACATAGATGTCGTGATTTCTTGTTATGATGAATCACTTATGCTTGCCATACAGTCTTGTTATGCCATACTTGTTTTGGTATCGATACCACCATTGAAACGGCTATGAGAGCTAAAAGTGGTACTAGATAGAGAGATAGACTAGATAGATAGATAGAGATAGATAGATAGATAGATAGATAGATAGATAGATAGATAGATAGATAGATAGATAGATAGATAGATAGACGAATAGATAAGCTAAAAGTCGCCGATGTTCACCTAGAAAATGCTCGCGTTGAAAATGGGACACTCGGTGGACACACCGATGCGCTCAAGTGGCTCCTTTTTGGGTGCCTCTTTCAACAAACGCTTCCTACGTGGGTCCGTAAGGGCCGGTTCACTGTAGCGGCAAGACCTGTCATAACGGCGCAGTGCCGTGGACCGCAAGAGAGCTGTTCGAATAGCACGGCCAGCTCCTCCGACAAACATGGCTGTCCCTTCGGAATCCAGTAGTTCATCGCCTCGAATATATCAAGCGGCCGCCATGCGCTTTGTAGCTTGTAAGACCCCACTGATGCTTCCATTTGCTTTAGACTCATGTCTTTAGCTTCAAAAACACTGTACTCGACATCGATCGGCGCTGTTTTTCAGAAGCATGGTCAAATGATTGATGTTCTAGGCCTATGAAACTCTTCCCGAGTCTCGGAGGGCTCACAATACTGTTTGTTGTCGTTTCTAACGCTGGACAGCTGGCGCCAATTGTCCAACGCATTCTTTGCGGACGTAATTCTCAATTGCTGTGCGCTATTTCGAATAGTGGACCCGGCGAAAATACTATATTCACTGCTGCAACGTAATATGAGAACAACACGTACGACATATTGTTGAAACCGCGGAACAAGAAGCAAGCAGCTCGAGGTGTCCCGCAGCAGGCGCACACAATGCGGAGATGCGAAAGCAGTCGACGCGACTTAGTCATGTCGCTCCTCAGTCTCTGATTGGCACACCGCCTTCGGCAAACGGCAAACGGCACAGAAGTGGGTCTCGGAACCCGTTTTTCGAACGGCGAAGAACGGCAGACATGCGCAACGCAAACGGCCGTGCACAGCTTCCTGAGAACGTCAAACGGCGAGGCATGCTTGCCGCTAGCGTGAACCGGCCTTAACACGGTAACACGGTGTGGGATACAAACACTTTAGGTGGGCACACTCGCGAAACGCGATCGACCTTATAAAGTAACAGCAATGCGTGTCCGTCGGACCGCGGCCAGCGGCGAGTAGGCGCAACTTGAAAACAAAGGGGCGTTGCTATACAACTGGTTCTTCACGAAAATTTAATTTATTTACACATGAACAATGTTTCTGCCCTAGAGTGAAAATTGATTACCTTCTCACCAAGGATGACGGGGGTTTCAGACGCGCGTCAAGCGTGGTCTCCATGCTTCTCTATGAAACGCATGCATGCCTGTCTTTGAAGATGGTTCCGCATGCCCTGTGAACTTTACACTGCTTCGGGCGTAACCTACCTGTTCATAATGATCATCTTTTCAAAACTTTGTGTGAAGCGGCTCTTCATTTAAATGCGCTGGTTCTCTTGTATTCGCTTTTTGTATGTGGTGCACTCAGAATGACAAGCTGGATCTGTCTAGCGCGCGAACAGCGTGGTGGGATGTACATGCTTTTGATGACCAGCAAAGCAGTACTTTAACAAGGACTGCGTGATTGCTCATAAAAGAGAAGCAACCACTTAGATACCTAGACAAATTTGTTGGCGTGCGTTACAAAGCAACGGTTTGGTGTTGCACCCAATTCTAATATCGTGGCTCTAACGGTAAATAACGGCGTGATATTCACGGCCCGTGATTACCCGTTTGATCGAGACATATTCACAGCGGACCTTGAGCCAATCTTGTCGCTGATTTCACCATCTCTTCTTACCGTGCACGGGAAGCGCTTTACAATATCTTTCTCGCATTGAACATTCAGTGGAACTTCTTCTGAATGCTACTTACAAGGGCGGAGGTTAGGTTAGGTTAAGTTATGAAGCGTCGTAACACCACAATAAACAATGTCAGCTATTGAGATGCAGTGTTTTTTTACCATTACAAGTCGGAAACTGCGATATCTAATACTGAAAATGTGCTCAGAAAAAAAAATTCGGCAGATCCCACGTACAGTGAGAATTGAGCATATGCGAGCACGAATGAGCAAGGTTTTTTATGTCAGTTTAAAATCAGCACAACATTACGAGTCGGAGGTAAATTATGCCGCACACGACTTCCATGTCATAATTATAATCTTTGAACGGGTCATTTACCTTCAGCATCCAATCACGCCACGTGATACCAAATTTCGTATAGTCGGAGGCTAGTGAAACAGCCGCCCGCGTGCTATGAAAGTCGCATGTAGGCCAGTTTTACATGACAAGCATGTCCGGATTATAATGCTTGGACGCGTCCTTTACATTTGGCATTATCGTCACGTAATACCTAATTTGGTATATGGGGAAACTAGTGAAACGGCCGCAAGCACGCTATAAGCATAGCATGTAGTCATGTTTTACATGACACGCATATCATGAATATCATGTCGTTCGGCGTGTCATTTAACTTCGTCGTCTATTAACGTCATGCAATACCAAATTTGGTATATGTGAAGGTAGAGAACGACCGCAGACGCATCATGAGCGTGGCATGTGGTCGTGTTGTTACATGTCACAGATCTCATGATTATCATGGCTGCACCAGTCACATTCATTCGTCGTCCATTCACGTCCCGTATGCCAAACTTAGTATATGTGAAGCTAGCGAAACGGCGGGGAGAGCATCATGAAGGGCTCAATATACTGCGACGGTAACGTTGTCGCGCGCCGCTGGGCGCAGCGACGCTATGCGAGCAAACGCAAACACTCTACAGTCTGACGCAAGACGCGCTATAGCGTCTATCGGCACGGCCCGGTGGCAACCGGCGTGAAAGCCGAATGCTGAATTTAGCGCTGACGACGTTACCCAAAATGCACCGCGTCTGCCTAGCTTCTTGATGGAGGAAACGCCGGGCGCGCTCAAACGCGCATGCGTCAAAGCAGCGCCAGTGCGGCATTGTGCCTGCGAATATTTGTCAGGCAGATCGGCGCCTGCGTGGCATCGCCGGCATGTCGCGACGAAATGAATGCAGCGCGCATGCGCGCCGGGTCATGTCGAAGTGTTTTGGCGCTGAGCGTGGCACGTAGTCCCATGTTCTTACACACGCGCATGTCATGATTATCCGTTCACACTAGCCACATACCTTCGTCATCCATTCGCGTCATGTAATGCAATGCCGAATTGAAATATGTGAAGATAGCGAGAAGGGTCGATGCGCACCATGATTGCTGGCGTGTATTCATCCTGATTGTGGCGGTGATTGCGGCGGTAGTCAAATATGCTCGTATGCAGTCATGTTATGTCATACCATGCTTGGTATCGATACCATTACGAAACGGCCAGGAGAGCTAAAAGTTGTAGGTGGATAGATAGATAGATAGATAGAAGATAGATAGATAGATAGATAGATTGATAGATAGATAGATAGATAGATAGATAGATAGATAGATAGATAGATAGATAGATAGATAGATAGATAGATAGATACGCATGAAGTCGCCAAAGTTCACTGAGAAATACTTCACATTTAAAATGCATCGACGAAGCGAAAAAGGGGCGTTAGTGTTCGGCCTCTTTCCTTACTCCGTTGCGTAAACTTCTGCACTTTTGTACTTCGCGCTGCTAAGTATTAAAACGTGCGATTTAACGTCAGCAAACTTTGAGCGCTTGTATTCAACGACTTTCGCCCTCGGGAAGACAGGAGCTACTCATTATTTCAGTATGGCGTATTCAAGTGATGGTAACGTGCGTCTTAATTAGCGACGCTAACATTAAATATACGATGCTTTATAGTACGACCTATTTCATTTCGGGATCATCAGACACAAATGTACAAATCATAGATGTGACAACCATTATTTCTGCAGAAGAAGTCATTTTACGCTTACAGAATTATGTGTCGATGCAGTAACTTGTTCGAATAGTTATCCATCGAGCTCTGGGTTTTGGAAGGATAGAAAATGCTCTATGTTTTATTTTATTTTTGTGGTCATTGTCGCTCTTCGCACGAGTGTGTGCGTGTTTATGGCACCGTGAATCGTGATTCTGGAACGTGACACTGCTGTTTTTGAAGTTAAACCCTACGATTATTATTATTATTATTATTATTATTATTAGTATTAGTAGTAGTAGTAGGTAGTAGTAGTAGTAGTAGTAGTAGTAGCAGTAGTAGTAGTATTGGAATAGTACTGCACCAGTATCACTCAGATATACAGGCATGCGTGAGACTGGAAACAGAAAATGGGCAGCTTGTACGGTCGTTTCTCGGTCACTCTGTTTCTTCGATGGCACAAGTATTGTGACCCACCTTAAGAAATGCTAATTTCAATGCTTAAATTGTAGAAAAACCCACATCAAGCAAAACTTGCCTTTGCAGGTGGTACAAACTATCCGGTGGCGGAGTGGACAGGCATGAACCCATTCCTAACAAAGGCGGTCGTGTTAGGGCCCAATCAGACACGCTCCTAATCCACCGTTGCAGCACATCCGACTCGGGGCGCTACCTCTGCGTGGCCAACAACACCCTCGCCTCAGAGCCATTCACCGTGACGCTGAACGTGCATGGTAAGCAGCACATTCGGTAACATATGCACATGACAGCCGCTGGCGTCACAAAGTGGCTTAAATGCGGGAAGAAAGTTGGGACAGAACCCACGGAATCGCATAGCGTAGAAATTACATAGCAGCCCAAATGAACTAGAGTGCGACGTTAGGAAGCAGGTGCAGCTGAACAAAAATTACTTTTGGCGTAACTATAAGGTTAGGTAGAAAAAACCAGAGAAGACAGGCGTCCTATCCTGACCTCCCCTCATTTTCCTAACTAGTCTTAGTGGCGGAAGCTTATGTGGCAGACTTTTTTTTTGCTCATGCGCAAACGTTGTAAGGCGGATCGTCAGCTCAGTAGGAGAGGTCTAAAGTCTCCACATTGGCGTCTTAAGGGGGGTCTCAAGGTCTGACGAAACGTTGCCATTTTCGCTGGGGTCTACAAGTTAGATTTATCGAAAGTAACGGCGCAATATGGTGTCACCAAGATTGCTCGCACGGAGTCGAGCAACTCTAGTAGTAGTGAAATGTGCGACGGGCGTTGTCTACGAAATACCGCTGTCTTGTGGGAAATTTTACGTGGGTCATACGGGGCGTTGCGTGAACGACCGTGCAAGGGAACATGAGCTGTCACTTAAAAATAACGGGATCACGCATTTGCCCGCGCATTGCAAAGCTTGCACGTGCTCACCGATTTTCTCGGAGATTAGGATTTTGGGTCGGAGTGCTGATACCACAGCCCGGGAACTGATGGAAGCGTTTTATATTTCTGCTAGAGGCAATACCTGTGTTAGTGATACATCCATTCGCTTTTTGATAGTGAGCGTCATTTTTGCGTGGCCTGTTGTAACTATTAGGTTCTGTCCTCTGACCACTTGACTATGTTCTGTGCGACTGTAAATTGAAGGTTGACGAAGAATTAAATTTAGTTGAAAGTCTGCGCTTGTCCCTGTCTCTTCTCTGCTGTCGTTTGTCTGTTTTTTTTGTGCGCACACCAGTTTACCCAGCAACTCTTTACGGTGGCATGATGAGTCATTGCCGTGTACGCAATAAGGAGTGGCGAGATGCGACGCCACCACTGGTTGTTTTTCCAACGCTGTTCAAACACTGGCGTGTGAATGCGGTAGAGCGTTCGAGTATCACACAAAGTGGCTGTATCTGTTTCAGGCTTGAGCAACGACTTTTGTATATTTTTTTTCAGATTTCTTGCTCCTTAGAAGTACTGCTGGCACCAGCACCACATTTTTTTTGGCACGAACTGTTACATACAGCGGCTTTACTATTTTGAAGGGTTTCTCGCTATTCTTGATTTGGGAAAATGTCACCGCTTCGCCGCAAAGGCGAAGCATTCAACGTGATAGCAACACAGTAAAATATCATGCGAAGATTGGCAAGCACGTCAAAACGGGCCCCGCGTTTCTAATGCACAAGTGATACACAAAACGTACTCAAGGGACCAAGAAGTGCCTCAGTTGTTGCTTTGCTGGGTCTGAAAATCACACCCTTTTTGAAAACAAAGACTGTGCAACGAGTACAGTGACCTTTGTGCACCCGGTAACTAAAACAGAATCGTTTCGGCGGAAGTTTAGTCCGCAGTGAGAGATAAGCGAGCGCATGCGTGAGCGTCCCCTCTCCGTAGAAAAAAGTACATGTGGGAGTTGAGAGCACGCCGCCGCGTCGTGACGATCTGGCGACGCGCGATGATTGCACAGTATTGCTGGTAATGCTTAAAGATATAGTTTTCCCAAGATGCCCATCGCCAGCGGTGATAGATACATATATAGCTTGCCATTCGAATGTCTAAAGGGGGGCTCGTTTGTGGCTCAGTTGCTAATGCGTCGCAATCACAATTCAAAGGTCAGACGTTCGATTACGCGTGCCGGAGTCTTTTTCTCAATTATTTTTCTTTTTTGCGTTTGTAAAACTAGAGATACGTACACACACACATTGTGAATAATGTTGAAGCCGACGCCGGCGGCAAGCCTCACCGCGGTGGTCTAGTATCTAAGGTACCCAGCTGCTGACCCGCAGGTCGAGGGATCACATCCGGGCTGCGGCAGCTGCTTTTTTGATACAGGTGAAAATGTTGTACGCCTGTGTCCTCAAATTTTAGTGCACATTAAAGAGCCCCAGGGTGTCAAAATTTCCGAAGCCCTTCACTTCGGCGCCTATCATAACCATATGGTGGTTGTGGGGCTTTAAACTCCACATGTTGTCATGAACTTCGCGTCTCGTAGTCTGTTAAGGCTGTTATCAATACTTGAAAGTGAATATACTTTAGGACGATGCTCAATTTTTGATTGTCAATGCAGAAGCGTAAGGTCTGGTCTTTTTTCTTTACCAGCACTATAGGTGAATCCCATGAACTGGCTGATGGTTGAATTAAGTTGTGTCTAAGCATTACTTCAACTTGGCATCTGTGGATTTTTTCCTTTTTTGGGGACACGCGGTGCGGGTGCTGGCAAACAGGTCTGATAAATTCGTCAACTATGATGCAGTGTTCGGGAATGGATGTTCTTTGGTCTTTTGATGGGGAAGAACACGACGCGTACTCCCGTATATGTATTTCTATTTTCTGTTTCTAGTTCGGTGGTTGGATGCTTCAATGTGAATAGATGCGAGTTCGGAATCTATGCTGTCAGAGTGTAGTGATGCAGTCTCGGAAGAACTCATATCCGTAATCAGAATGTTATCGTGCAGGGGACCACAACAGTTCTCTTCGCAAGAAATCGCACCTCATTTCGGAAACTTGTTAGAAAAACACTCTCGCAACCATCACGCAGCCATACAATACCGTATGCGGCACAGATTCCTTTGTCAATGTTCAGTTTCAGTTTTTATTATTCACAAAGCATCGATTACATAACACGTGTATACCGATGAGGGTACCAGGGTATACATACTGAAAATGAAACCCTCATTTAGAAACTGCAGCAAAAGTAAATTGAAAACAATTGGCAAAAGATTAGCATGTGATAATAAGGAACTGGAGCCCCGCCGCGGTGGTCTAGTGGCTAAGGTACTCGGCTGCTGACCCGCAGGTCGCGGGTTCGAGTCTCGGATGCGGCGGCTGCATTTTCGATGGAGGTGGAAATGTTGTAGGCCCGTGTGCTCAGATTTGGGTGCACGTTAAAGAACCCCAGGTGGCCGAAATTTCCGGAGCCCTCCACTATGGCGTCTCTCATAATCATATAGTGGTTTTGGGACGTTAAACCCCACATATCAATCAATAAGGAACTAGAACAAGGCAAAACAAAGAGCAACATGCAACAGTTGAAAAAAAGTGAAATAATACACTAAACAAAAGTCAACATGCAAAAATATTATAAAAAAGCAATGCAATGGAAAGTCAAATGAACACACAGAAGTAATACGAAATAAAAGAAAGAAAAAAATTACAAAAATTGAAAAAGGCAATGAAGTTTTCAGACGTGAAACAGAAATAAATACATAAAATGAATCTGGAGAAGTGGAAAAAAAAATTCACCATAACTAGGGTGAGCAATCAGGAGTTAATAGGAAAGATTTTATTGTTGTTTTGAAAAGGAATAATAAGGGCAAAAATTTAAGTTCAGATGACAATTTATTCCAAAAATGAATGGTAGAGAATTTAGATGATGTTTTTACCGTAGTCAGTGTGAACGTGTGGTAGCAAGTATTTATGATTAAAAGCAAACCTGGTGGGGTTAGCATTCTTGAGCGAGCTACATTCAATATATTCAAAGGAGAGTTGGAAACTAAGTAACTTATAAAACATTATGTTTTTGTTATACTGAAATACCTTAATAAAAGATAAAATTATGTGCTCATTAGGCAGGCTAAAGGCATCTTAACGCGAGCAACTGTAAGTTATGATGCGTATGGCTTGATTTTGCATATGCTGGTTGCAATGAAGATAGCAATGATAGGTCTTACCCCAAGCGATTATGCTGTAGTTAATATGCGAATAAATAAATGCAAAGTACAGTGAAAGCAGTGCAGGAGGTGAAAAATACTGACGTGCATTGATAAGCGCGCGCATACCAAAGACCGACTTCTTTTTCATTTGATTGGTGTGATGATGAAACTTCAAATGGCTCTCCAACGTCACACCTAGAAATATCACAGAGTCATTCTTGGGAATAGAACTATTCCGAAATGATGAGAAAGGAAACTGTGTTAAATGCTTTTGAAGAGGATGGAAAATGAAAAATTTAGTTTTAGATGAATTATTCAGTAGTTTTCAACGTTAAACCATATAATCAGGTGGTCAAGTACCATATTTAGCATATTTAGTAATGAACTCATGTTTTTCACGTAGTATAATTTTGATGTCTGCGTACAATACATAGTGGCACAAGTCCATGACGTCCACCAAGTCATTATTATAAAACGAAAAAAATCAAAGGTGTGAAAATTGAACTTTGAGGCACTCCTTGGTTAGTAATTTTAGGAAGAGAAAATGTTTCACGCACGTATACCACAAACTCTTGGTCAGTGAGATAATGCTTTAAAAACGTTAGAGCAGGGCCTGTGACCCCTTAGGCTTTTAGATTACGATAAAAAATTGTGGGAATAATGGCGTCAAAGGCTTTAGTAAGGTCGAGGAAGATGGAACCAACGACTTCATTCCCATCAAGACTGTTCTTAATAAAATCTGTTGAACAAAGGGAGGCTAGAATAATAGAACTTCCGGCCCGAAAACCGAACTGGCAAACTTGATTATGTGGAATTTATCTAAGTACTGAGTTAGTCTGGACACAAATAACTTCTCAATTATTTTACTTAGGGAGGGGACAATAGAAAAGGGATGGTAGTTGGAAGCAGCTATTTATTGTCTTTTTTAAAACTGGGATTACATTAGCACGTTTTAATACTTGCGGAAATTCACCAGTTTTGAAATTAAAATATATATAGCACATAAGGGTTCGCAAACAATGTCAGCTACCAGTTTAAGTGACGTAATGAAATGCTATCTAATCAAGAGATAGTGTTGCGAGCGTTGCAGATAGTGGATAGCACTTCACTCGGCGTAACCAAAA